ATCAGCCGCTTTACGGTCGGGGACAAGGTTTGGGTCAGGGACCCGAGCCGCCGCTGTGACGTGGCCAGTTCACTTGGGACGGTGAGCCGTATTGTGTCTGTACAGTGTGTTGAGGTGGATGGAGTGCCGCGCCATGTGCGGGACCTGAGGCTGGCCGTTCTCCCACAGCCGGCCGAGGGCAGGAGTCCGCCGATCAGTGAGAGTGACGACGAGGGCGCCCCAATTATCTTTTATGAGCAGCGTGTCACTCCCGACGCTGCGGCTCGAGGCGAGTCGGAGGGGGCCTCGCACGATGGCGAGGAGTCGGCAGCTGCTCGCAGGAGCACGCGGGAGCGGCGTCCCGCTACACTGACGCAGTATGGTGATTTATAAATCAGGGGGGAGTGTAATAGAATTGTGTTATGAATTAGTAGAACGTAGCGTGCCTTGTGTGTGTATTGTGCGTGTGTGCTTATGACCGTAGGGCTGTTCACGGGCCCTGTGTGCGGTCGGACCGCACACAGCCTCCAAGCTCCGCCCACTGCGTCCCTACGTCAGCCTTCCGTCACCGCACACAGCGATCGCTGTGGCCGGTCGGGACTGGCCACAGCGGAGCGTCCACCGCACGCAGCCGTGACGTCAGAGACGCCTACCCATCCCCTACCCCCACGCCTGCTGGACGCACCGCACACAGCGCACGCAGCAGTGTGCGGTGCCCGTGAACACCCCTCGTGTTTGTGTGGGCGCGCCGAGGCCGTGGGACCGGCGGGCCGCATTTCCTGCGCCTGCGGCGCTAGTTTTATGGCGCACAGCTGTGTGTGCACTGTGGACCGCCGGCCGGGCTCGGGCGCGCGGGCGCAGTTGGCGCCGCGACACGATGACGTAAGGAATACAGCGTGTGAGAGGTGGCTCGGTTTTCTACACTTTTCATGTTTGAACTGGTTGTTCTTCTATGCCCCTTCATCCATATCTTGATTACAGATGGGCTGTTACTGTAGGCTGATGAAGTGACACTTGATTGCCTTTGTGCGAGTTTCAGTTGCAGCCTCCTTGGTACTGCACTGGAAAGCAGATTGAATTGAATGCCTCTGAAAGATAGGAATACAGGCAAAGTTAGCTGTAGTAGTGTCAATGATAATAGACATGACATTTTTGTCCTTTGACATACATTTGTTGAAGTACAAAAAGGTACAAAATAAATTGGTTTGTTTGAAGACATGCACACTGCACAAAGCCGCACAGATATTACACAGGCATATGAAATTGGTACACATAAAAATTGATGATTAAAAAGGTCAAAACTTGCAATAATAATTGAAGTAAAAGTTACAATCACAATCATTTGATTTAAAATGACTTGACATATAAGTCACAAGACGCAACGCTCCTATTCTTTCATGCTTTCATTCATGGGTGTCGATTTGTATACCTTTGGGGGTGCTGCAGCACCCCCAATGCTCAAATGAGCACCCCCAATGGTTTTCCGGGCACCCCCAATGATTTTGTCCCTCAATAACTCCCACTAACTCTGCTTGAGGAAAATAATTGTTCTGCAGTCTTTCACTAATAAAAATAAAACAATTACGCAATTTACAAAGCATGAAATAAAGATGTAAAGCCAGAAAAGTTAGTTTTAAGAAGAAGAGCGAAAAAAGACGTTAAGTTGTAAAGACACTGGTGTGGGTCCGTCGTACACGGGTGTCGGACCCTTAGAGCTGCTGGCGCGTACCCTTTACAAGCCAGCAGGGGGCTCCAGAGACCGGCGACGGGCCCTCAGAGGCCGGCTAAGGGCCATCAGAGGCCGGTGGTACCTTCAGAAACCCTGTGGGGTCGTCTTTAGAGACCGGAACGGACTTAGACGCCGATGGAGCCCTCAGTCGCCGGTGTGGGGCCTTCAAATGTCACCGGTGGCAGGGTGGCCGTCACATGCGCACTTGTGGGGCCTTCAGAAGCTACGATGTTGGGCCCTCAGAGCCACCGATATAGGGCCTTAAGAGGCACTAGTGTGAGACCTTCAGATATGGCAATGTGGGGCCCTCGGACTGGAGGCGCCGGTGTGGGGGCTTCACAGTCGCCGGTGACGGCCCTCACAGGCGCCGTTGTGGGGGCTCTCAGAGACACTGGTTTAGGGCCATCACAGGCGCGCGTGGGGCCCTCAGAACTGCTGTTACGGAACGGACCCTTGCTTCATAGTCCGACAAGAAGATATCAAGAGGTCACCGGTGCCTTCAGGAGCCTTGTGTGGTTCTCAGAGACTGGCATGGTGCGCTCAGACGCCGCTGGGATCCTCCGAGTCACCTGTGTAGGGCCGTCAGGGTCGCTGGTAACTGACAAGGGCCCTCAGAACCGCCCATGTAGGGTTTTTAAAGGCATTGGTGTAGGGCCTCAGAGTTAGGGGTGTGGGGCCCTCAGAGACGCCGGTGTGGCGCTCAGGGGTGCCGGTGAGGGCCCTCACAGTCGCCGTTATAGGGGCCCTCAGAGAAATGGGTGTGGGGCCATTACACTTTACAGGCGGGTGTGCAGCTCCTAGAGCTGGCCCCCTATAGGCCGGTTAAGACCCCCAGAGGCCGGCAAGTGGCCCTCAGAGGCTGGCTTGGGCCCTTATGGAGATCTTAATGTTGGTACTTGTGGGCCCATGAGGTGTTCTTACGAGCCCTGTGGGGCCCTTCTGAGTCCAAATATAGCCAACCTGGACCCTCAGCGGCCAATTGGCGCCGCAGTGCCCCTCAGGCCCGAATAACCCGATGGGCCCCTGAACCTAATGGGGGGGGGGGGCATGTGCCTCACGGGCCCACCTGGCTACGCCACTGAGGAAAATCGTAAACCCATAAATATCGAAATGCGATCACCTGTCATTTTTTTCAACGATTATTGCGATCGTCTGATTAACGCCAGAGCCTCGTAGCTATACCGTTGCCTCCCGCGCAATGTCCGCCCCTGTGGACCGCAGGGGCTGCTGCACCGGTGCTAATCGCGATCACCGGTTTGTCACCTTATTACAGAGGTGCCGGGGCTGCTGCCGAGCTGCCGGCAAATGTACGCGTTTTTTTCGGAAAGATGTTTATGTAATGAGGTAGCCAAGTACTAGGACGAGCAGAATGATTTTGAAGAACGTTCAACCTTTGGGAAATATTAGTGGAAATCCCGGGATTATCAGTACCTTATGGGGATACCCAACCATGCCTTGTACGGTTGTGCCCATGGCAAAGCTGCAATCTTTCACCCGGTGCAGGGGTTGAGCACCCCCAACCATTTTGAGAAATCGACACCCCTGGAAGATCCTCCACATATCAACCAGCTTGATACCAGGCTGTGCAATAGTGTGTACATAACCCCATGTTGCCATTTTATTAGAGCAAGTGGGGTTACAACAACAATGCTAATGTCAAACCCACATCTGCAACCCGTACTGCAGTTTCAATCACCTTACAAGCACACCTTCCATGGCAGTTTGATAGGCAGAATGGTCATTACTACTTCCCCTCATATTCAACACATATTCCCTTTATACAGATACAGTTAAGACCTGGTTATGGCAAGCACTTTCGAGAAAAGATATGATTAAAGTCCAAGACAAAGGTCGAGAGAAACAACACCAACATAAAACACCGACTATGTAGCACTAATACTGTCAAATTTCATAAAAATATATACATGAGTCGATCAAAAATTCACTGTAGATTTCGAAAATGGTGTCAATTGCCACTCAAATACCCCCATTCGCATGTACGAAGCAATAAAACACTGACCTTCAATTCCGCGTGCCATTCTCCATAGGCCACTGTGTATTAAATAACGCGTTCACTGATAGCAAAAAAAGAGACCCACATATGACGCGTTTGCTACCAGCCAATCAGCGCTCGAGTTACCGAGCGCTCATTGGTGGAGAGGAGGGCCGTCGTCAGCAGCTAATTACACGTTGTTTTCCTTGAACATGTGCGTGAGCGCTGATGCTGCTCACGGGCTGTTGCCATTTTTCGTAATGCTGAAGGCACGGGAGCGAACCCCCCTGGGCCATGGCCACCAATTTGGCTATCTCAACTCAAATCTAATGTTAAGGTGGGAGGGTCCCTTTAAAGGTAGTGTGCCACCTTTGAAAGATTTCCCATTTTATTTTTCCTAGGATAAGAAGCTTCTGTTTTTACCTAATATCGCAAAAAAAAATCAAAAATGGGCCTGGAATAGTGCCTTTTTCGCCTAAAAGTTTATCGGTTTTTAGATATGTATAACAACTGTAGTGGGCTCACCTGCAAACAGGCGTCGGGCAACAATCGCGAATGCGGCGCACTTGTGACAATAAGCAAAGGTCATTATAGTGTTACGACCATACGACGTACGGGAATGAGTTATCAGCTGTCTAATCGTAGACAACACAATGTCGAGCCTTAAACTGTAAGCCCGTATTGGTATTGTTTCTTTTATTTGGCTGTCGAACATTATTTATGGTTTGAAATATGATTTTATGTAAAATAAATGATATGAAAAAGCCGTCTTATAAGTTATGACCCCATTTCACCACACGCAAGTGGCAGAAATGACAATGATCAGCTGACGCATTTTTCTTGGCCGAAGTCAGAGCGCGCGGCCCGACGCACCACGCGTATTTGGAAATTCCGACCTCGACGAGCATCGAAAGCCACCTAACAGGCGTGTTCGAAACCGCAGGAGATGATGATGAACGGGTTTATCGAAACTTGATTGGATGAGCATATCGGTAATAGCGATTTCAGTGTGTGCATTTATTGTTCATAGTGGTGTGAAATGTGGTTGGGGTACGACCGACAACCCGTCGGGGCGAATTTCGCACTGGGGTACTCAAAATTTGAAGAATTTAAGACGTTTCCATGAGTTTTGAAGGTATGGATAAGTTCTAAAAATCCGGTTCTCCTTATCTGGGCCATTAACTCCATACGGTCCAAGAAACCTGGCACACTACCTTTAACCCATCTAACCTAATGTGGCCCGTTTGTCTCATGATTACCAGAACTTGTGTAACCCTACGTGACCTCCGACCACCTCAGGTGGATGAAGATCCGTCAGGTGAAGCTGGAGTCGGCCGACGGCCTGCCGCCGATCCCGATGCAGATGAGCTGGGTGCGCGACGGCGTGCTCATCGTCGGCATGGATAACGAGATGCACGTCTACAGCCAGTGGAAAATGCCGCGTGAGTGCGACAGTTTGGGTCGGGCTAGGGTTCACTGACGAGAAAAGTAGTGGAGATGGTTAAGAGTTTGCTTCCGGCGATAGTTTCAGTCAGGGGCGGATCCAGGAAAACTCCAAGGGGAGGGTCATGAATCGAAGTGGTGCCCCTACCTATACCCAAAATGAAAAACTCAACGGATTTCGTCCACTTCATTTTGGTGGTTCCCCCCATTTTCAGTTTTTTTCTTTTTATTTTTTATTTTTAGTCAGTATCTTAACTCTTAGCCACAACCACATTTACCAATTGTAAGCAAGTATATATGAATGTGCTATGTGCATAGATGCTATGTGTATATATGTTGTGGACGCTGAGTAGTGAGTACTTACCAGGAACGTTATCAGGTAAGCAAATCGTTGTCAGTCCGACCAACTTGACCCTGGCGTCTAAAGGGTCTGTCCTTGACACTTCAGGCTTGTCAGGGGCACCAAAGTCCTTCCAGGGACACCACAAACCTTTCAGGGGCACCTACGGCCTTGTAGGGGCGCCACAGGCCCGCCAGGGGCACCACAGGCCTGCCAGGAAGTAGGGGCACCACAGGTCTAGCAAGTATACACGACAGGCCTGTCAGGGCACAACACAACGGACCTGTTGGGCCCATGAGCACCCCTAGGGGCAGGGGCACCACAGTCCTTCCAGGGGCACCGCAGGCCTGTGAGGGGCACCAGCGGCCTAGCAGGGGCACCAGTCAACACAGGCCTGCCAGGGGCACCACAGACCTGCAAGGGGCACCAGAGGTCTGCCAGGAGCACCACCGACCTCGCAGGGGTAACTTGGGCCTGTCAGGGGCCAGGGGCACCACGGGCCTTTCGAGAGGCACTTCAGGCTTTTCAGGGGCACCATAGTCCTCTCCGGGCGCAGGGGTAGCAGGGGCACCAGAGGCCTGCCAGGGGCACTACAGGCCTAGCAAGGGCACCACTGGTCTATCAGGGGCACCACGAGCCTGTCATAGCCAGGCATCTCAGGCTTGTCAAGGCCCAGGGGCACCACAGGTCTGTGAGGGGCACCAGCGACCTAGCAGGGGCACCAGTCAACACAGGTCTGCCAGGGGCGCCACAGACCTGCCAGGGGCACCACAGACCTGCCAGGGGCACCAGAGGTCTGCCAGGGGCACCACCGGCCTCGCAGGGGCACCTTGGGCCTGTCAGGGGCACCACGGGCCTGCCGAGGGGCACTTCAGACTTTTCAGGGGCACCAGTCCTCTCCGGGCGCAGGGGTACCAGCGGCCTAGCAAGGGCACCAGAGGCCTGCCAGGGGCACCAGCGGCCTAGCAAGGGCACCAGAGGCCTGCCAGGGGCACCACAGGCCTAACAAGGGCACCACGGGCCTGTCAGAGGCACCTCAGGCTTGTCAGGGCCCAGGGACACCACAGTCCTTCCAAGGGCACCGCAAGCCTGTCAGGGGCACCAGAGGCCTGCCAGGGGCACCACAGGCCTAGCAAGGGCACCACTGGCCTGTCAGGGGCACCTCAGGCTTGTCAGGGCCCAGGGGCACCACAGTCCTTCCAGGGGCATTACAAGCCTGTCAGGGGCACCAGAGGCCTAGCAAGGGCACCACAGGCCTGCCATGGACACCACAGGCCTGCCAGGGGCACCACCGCCCTTGCAGGGGCGCCTCAGGCCTGTCAGGGGCACCACGTGCCTACCGGGGACACTTCAGGCTTGTCAGGGGCGTTACAGTCCTGTCAGGGCCCAGGGGCACCAGGCCCGTGGTGTCCCTGCTAGGCCTGTGGTGCCCCTGGCGGTCCTGTGGTGCCCCTGTCAGGACTGTGATACCCCTGATAGGCCGGTTGTGCCCCTGGCAGGTCTTTGGGCCCGCGGGCCTCAAGGGGGGGGGGGGGGCCATGACCCATGTGACCCCCCCCCCCCCTTGGATCCGCCCCTGGTTTCAGTTATGGCGGCTGCGAAAATGTTTTGTAGGCAATTGACCTATTCGAATTTGCGTCTTTCGTTGTCATCGACTGATTTTTTCTATAATGATCATCGACCGTCAATGTGTTTGAAATGCGCATCGTGCATCTACGGCATTATCACCACCTTCAGCCTTTCGAATTACTGTCTTGGTTCCATGTGTCTTGCCCTCGTTCATTTAACAATGAGCTCACTTCCCTGTCAGCTTCCTTGGCCGCTGATGCCTGTCTGAATGTGCGCTTATGCCTGCCCCTGCAGCGTTGAGCCTGTCCCGCCGCAGCACGACCGACCTGCAGCCGCTCACGGACGACTTTGTGGCCTCACGAAACCTCACCGATCAGCAGCTGTTCACATACGCATCGGTAAGACGACCTATGGGGGCTCGAAACCTGCTGAACAGAACAGAACAGATTTATTTGAATAAGATCCACGATTACATGGCTTTTCACTTACTCGCGTCTGAATGGTAATACAATGGGAAGTTGGAACAGGCACACGGAAATGACTACAAACATTCGCATACCATGCATACACTCGCACCAGAAACGATATCGTGAATCAGAGAGATCCAGCGAACAGCCTGGCATCTGCCCGGAAAGACAAAGTGCCAGGCTCAATGCCGCTGTCGTTCAGCAGCGACACACCGCGGTAACAGAGTCGCCGCCTGCCGGCCTCCACACGGATGGCCGGAAGGGTAAACGAGTCCGCTCGCCTGGTGTTATGATCATGCCGCTGGTGGGCTCGCTGTCCGAAGGTCTTAAGAAGAAAGTCCGGATGACCTGACTTCATCGTCCGCTCGACTGCACACAAGGTATGGTAAGCCACCAACTGTTCGGCCGTGAGCCAGCCGAGGCTCGATATGGCACCCGAGATGTGATCACATCGCCTTTTCCCGGTCACGACACGTGCGCAGAAGTTGATGGTCTTCTGTACACGGTGCAGCTGTGTGCTAGTACAAGACCCATACACCGACATGCAGTAGCGCACAATGGATAACACTAGAGCTTCTGTGATGCCCTTTAACACAGGTCTAGGTATGACGTGACGTGCGTGACTTAGGGCTATCAGAATACCGGCGCACTTATGGGACATATTGTCTATCTGAGCCTCAAAATTTAGATGCCTGTCAAGTTGAACACCGAGGTTTTTAACTACTCCTGAGTCTGGAATGACATCTCCATTGAAGGTCAACGTCACAGGTGGTACATTGCGCAGCATTGAGGGGGTACCTAGCACTAACATCTGCGTCTTCTTGGAGTTGAGCTTCATCCGGTTGAAGCAAAACCACTGGTACAACATGTCGAGTGCGTGCTCCATACGGGCGACGAGCTGCGGTAAGTCACACTTTCTGCCTGTCACTATCAGTTGTGTGTCGTCAGCATACTGGACAACACTAACACCGTCCGGCACATGCAAGCTAAGGTCGTTCGCAAACAGCATGTACAGAATACAACTGAGGGCGCCGCCCTGGTATACACCGATCACATTGCTCTTTTTATCAGAAAGTAGCATCCTTCCGTCTGCGCACCGTACCTGCACCTGCTGCGCGTGGTCGGCCAAATAGTCACGGAACCATTTGGTAGTGATGCCGTAGAGAGACAGCTTTTCTAGCAGCTTGTCATGCGGAACAACGTCAAAACATTTAGATAAATCGAGAAGTACTAGAATACTTATCTCGCCGTTGTCCATAGCGTGAAGCGCCAGATCGGTGATCACGTGCAGTGCGGTTTCAGTGGAACGGAATTTACGGTACCCGTGTTGACAATCGGAGAGCAGGCAATTGTCCTCGAGATAAGCAATGAGCTGCGCCTGTACAACGCGCTCGACAATTTTCATTATTGCTGGCAAAATCGAGATGGGTCGAGTATCGGACGGTTCGGTGGCAATTCCGGCTTTAGGAATGGGTGTGACTAGCGCATGCTTCCAGGCGTGCGGCACTGTACCGGTGACAAGGCTCGAGTTTACAACGTCAAGCAGAGCATGTCTCACACCCAAGAAAAACTTTTGCAGCATCAGCACGCTAATGCCGTCAATTCCTGTTGAATTGGACGGTTTCATCACCGCGAGCGTGGCACACAAAGTATCCAGGTCGATTGTGCTGACATCGAAACCACAAGTTGACACACGTGGGACGCGCGTGGGGACAGCCAAAGCGGCGACCGGCACACTAGCAGCAGTGTTGAGCCCCACTGCGACATAGTAGTTGTTCAACGCATTCGGGGTTATCCGTGGAATATCGCACTGCTGCTGTTTCCGTCCGATAACGGGCCGCAGCACCCGCCACAGCCCACCGCGACTGTTCTCCCTGATCTCCCGCTCGTACCGCGCGCGGCAGTCACGGCGGATGGCCGCGCGGCACAGCCGGTTTGCCTCCTTGTACTCGGCGCGGTCACTTCCAGCGAGCGCCGCGCGGCGGCGCTGCAGCAGCCGTTGGGTGTCAGCGGACACGGGCGGCGCAGAGCTCCGCCTGTCACGGACACGCCTGAGCGGTGCGACAGTGTCCAGTTCAGAGAGGAACGCAGTCTGGAAGTGCGCCCACTTGTGCACAGTAGTGTCGCTGTCAAAAACTCCGGTCCAGTCGGTATCAGTATCAGTGCCTTTAGTGTGCTCAGCTGACTGGAGTTATTCACGTGGGTGTCGATAGACAATATATGCGAGCAATCTGCTGGTGCCAGAAGCCTTGGTTTCTGTCGTAACTCGGGTATTGTCCATGGGTTCAGATCTACATAATTAGTTGTTTGACGAGTCCCTGTCCCTGCCGCTAAATCCGCTCCCCTGTTTCATGCCGTCAGGACTCGATGAAGAAGCGCATCATGTCCGTGTCTTCCCTGGCCAACATGGACCTGCTGAAGGGCCGGGCGGCCGAGTCTGCGCGCGGCGCCACTCAGGACTACATGCCCAACTACGGTCTGTTCGTGGCCAGTCGAATCGCATTCCCCGTGCTTCCGCAGTACCATCCCAAGCAGCTGATGGAGCTCCTCAACTGTGGCAAGGTGAAGCGCGTCAAGGCGATCCTGGCGCACATTGTGCGTTACGTGCGCAGCCTGTCGCGTCAGTCGCGACTGGAATCGTCCACAGCCGATCCCGATCTGGATGATCCGGACATTGTGGAGAAACTGGCCCGGAGCCGCGGCATGTCCGTCTCGCTGCAGCCAGGTAGGTTCACGCCGGGTGGCAGTGGAAGTGGCAGAGGCTGGTGCTGATTTTGGAACGGGTGGTTGTGGGTCGTTTGCATCCTTGGCACGGTGGCATCCTTTACTTGCTTCAATCAATGTCGTACCTCTTTTAACGGTAACTGCTTCGAATCAGTGCGATCGTAAGAGGATGAGAGGCTGTCTTTTTTAGTTCCTTGATTCTTAAATTCCATCTTTTACAGACATGGTATCCTGGGACATTTGTGTGTGTGTGTGTGTGTTTTTTTTTTTTTTTTACTGTATAAGCGGCAGCCACCTGTCGATCTGTGTACCACGGATACATAACCCCGTTGCTCCCCGCTACCCGACTCTACAGGGAGCCCTCTGGAGCGTCAGCAGACGGAGGACATCCGACCCGACTACGAGGAGATTGACTCGGTGCCGCCGCTGCCGCTCTGGATGCTGCTTGCCGCCGACCGCGACCGGGGCCTGTCGGCACCGGCGGCATTAGAGGAGGAGGTTAGTGTGGCTGGGAGGGGCAGGATAAGGGCAGGAGCTGGGAGAGTTTGACCGCGACCGGGGCCTGTCGGCACCGGCGGCGCTGGAGGAGGAGGTTAGTAGAGCCCGGAAGGTATGAACAGGAGGTTGGTGTGGCCGAGATGAGTAGGAGCTAAGACAGGAGCTGGGGGGGGGGGGGGGGGGTGACCGTGACCGGGGCCTCTCGGCACCGGCGGCGCTGAGGGGGAGGAGGTTAGTCAGTTAGTGTGACCGAGAGGGGCAGGAGCACGGGGTTGGTGTAGGCGAGATGAACAGGAGCAAGAGGGAGGCTGGCCGTGACTGGGGCCTGGCTGGCGCCGGCTCCGCTGGAGGAGGAGGTAAGTGTGGCCTGGAGGGACAGGAGCAGGAGGATAGTACATATAGGCGAGATGGACAGGAGCAGGCGGATGTTTGATCAGGACAGGGGCCTGTCGGCGCGCTGGAGGACTGGAGGTTTGTGTGGCCGAGAGGGGCAGGAGCGGGAGGCTAGTGTGGCTGGGAGGACAGGGGTAGGAGGGAGTTTGGCTGGGAGGGGCAGGGCTAGGAGACGCATGGTGTGGCCGTGACCGGGGACTGTCAGGGCCTGCGCTGGTGGGCGTCGTCATGGAGCTCAGCTGCTGTCCCCTAGCCATGTTCTCTGCACGGCTGGGATGTGTCCTGTCGTCTCACTGACCCGCGACTGTAACTCTGCCTCAGAGCTACGACGACCTTTTCAAAGTGGACGACGGGGAGGCCACACTGGAGGACATCATCGGAGCCAACAAGAAGAGGCGCAAGTCCACCGCTGGCCCGCCGGAGGGGCTGAGCTTCTTTGGACCGCGCGAGGTAGGCAGACAGTGTCCGGTGGCCGGAGGCATCAAAGGTGTCACTCGCTCAGCAGCTAGTGCTTTATAGGTGTTCTGTCTCAGTTTCCAACTAGTTGTTAGAAAAGATTATTCGTTAGCAAGTAGATAAGTATTCCTTAGAGAAATGGTTTCTATGCACTGTTTATATAACACTTTTTCGGGAGTTTACTTAGGTACCAGTCAGTCGCCTATCAGATATCTAGTCTACTACAGTATTAGATACTTTCTTGGCTTCTCGGCATCTTTAACTGTTTATCGGCTCCAATTTATAATCGCCACATTGCTTTTTACTTTGCTGCAATTGCCTTTATGTTATCAGCACCGCGCATGCCTTGCCTAGCACACCCAACTTAGTAGCTATTGCCGCACTGAGTAGTGAGTCGCGCACATCCACGACATTCACCCGGCGGCCGAGTGCCGGTGTTTTACCACCCTCTGACCCCTCCACACTGGTTCATGGTCCCGCCGTGACGCTGTTTCAGGCCATTGGCGGGGATGTGGGGCCGCAAAGTCGACGGGTAGGTGCGCCGCCCGCGCCGGCGCGGCGTCGCGCTGCGCCCAGATGTTGTCTGTGATGTGACCGGCCCGACCCTCCCCCTCTTTCTGTGCCGACTCTTTTTCGTGCGAGCTCTCATTTTTTCATCTTCTCGTGCGTACTCCTGCTGGAATTCGATTGCTAACGGGAGAAGACAAGCTTACTCTCGGGCCCTATGCCCGTCAGTGTTTGTGTGTCTGTCTGTGATTGTGAGTCTGTCAATCTGTCACCCTGCTCCCTGCTTTAACCGTGCGGCCCCGTGAGTTTCCTGAGTGCTGGAGAGGGCGGTCGCCGGTCTGTTGTACAATTGTACATATGTACAGCGAGATAATCCATGTTTTCATCCACTACCCGTTCGCTTCACATCCATGTCTTTCAAGAGTGAAGAATATCCACATGCCACGTTCCGACGTGACACTGATGAATTCTCCCTGGAAGCCTGCGAGCCTGTGCCCGATTTAACCAGCCGGATCTAATTGGTATCATCTAGTATCTTACCTTCGTTTCCTTCAAAGTTGTTGGTGCCTCAAAGTCAGCCTTTCCTCCTGACTCCATCGGCGGTCTTCTTTTGTCCTTGTTTAGCCTGACCTCACGTCCTCATCTGACGAAATTTATCAGTCGGAACAGAATATTTACTGCGTCTGCTTCGGACGTGTTTCAAGTATCATCAATCGAGCATCGAGTACCAGGCTGTCGTCAAGTCGAGCAGACTAGATATTCGTGACCCGGTTCGATGTGTGTTGCGATTGTTGTTGTGGTCGAACCCTCTGCCTGATTGTCCGAATGTGACCGTGTGACCTCAAACCGTGTTTGCCCTCTACTGAAGCATAAACCTCTGTATCGTTTACAGGGCTCTATGACCCAATTTTTTACTCCTAATCATGGATTGACTCTGAACGAGACGGATCTTGAACAGGGTGCCAGCTGTCTCCGTGATAATTTCTGCACTGAGTCGTAGCATTGTCCAGCTGAACGTTGTTATCTGACTCATCCACCCGTGATACCAGAAGTTGTACGTGTTGTAATTAACTCAAGTGACTGTGATATCATGCTCTTCGTGTCCCCGTCGCAGTCCCAAATCCTGACGAGATGTGATTGCTTCCGCTGCAGTCTCTGATGCTCTATGCTCGTCTCCATGACAGTCTCTTACGTGATTTATGTATCTTTGCCTCAGTCTCTGGCGCTAGCCATCTGTCTCCGTCGCAGTCTCTGATGCTGGCGTAGTGTCCGACGTACGCATCTCACTATTACATCTCTTGGCCACCATGCGCTGCTCTCTGAAGTTCCTGCCGTGGCTTACGTGTCTATCACAGTGTCTGACTATCACATCATCTCTATCGTCATCTATATCATCATCATCTATCACTTCACATCTATCACAATCTCTAACTCTGTCCGTATTTCGGCTGCAGTCGCGGATGCTGACGCAGCTGCTCACCCACTGCCACCTGCCGGACCTCACCTCCATCGACCAGCTCTACCTGATAGCTCTGGCCGACACAGTCGCCTCCGTGGACGCCGATCTGGCCGACTGCTTCGACGAGAGCTCGGATGACGCAGCAGAGGCGCAGAAGAGCCAAGGACCCACACTCGGTGGGTAGGGGAGGATTGTGTGGGATTCTTGGGATGTGTGTGAGTGCGTCGGTGAGTTTGGGTCCAACCTGCTGCATGATGTGGGAAAGAAATAATTTGCTTTTCTTGACGCGCTTTGAGTAGTTTTTGTTTTACGAACATGTGAACATTATCGAAGCTACCAACAACTGTTCTCATGTATCACTACCTAGTAACTATGCGGATTAGTTACCTTAAACCCCGCCGAGGCCGTAGTAAGCACTGCAGCTGTCATAAATAACGTGCTCGAACGGTGTCCGTCCCCAGACTCTGTGGATGACTCTGGCCTGCGTTTCGTGCTGGCCATGCGGAACTTCACGTACCTGTCCAAGTGTCTGCCGCCGAAGGAGAAGGCCGAACTCAATTCGCAAGGCTTGACGTGAGTGTGATCTTCTGACAAGTGGCGAGCGGACTGTTGCTGTGTGCCTGCTGTGCCCACGTCCCACTGTGGCTCTTTTAGTATGTATGTTTTGGAGTCAGTTCGACTGTATAAACGTTATCATTATTGAAAAGATTCGCGCTAGGTTCAATCCACTTAATTGTCCTATCGAGGACTACCATCGATAAACTCAATCTATAATCCTTTTGCCACACGTAAACGCTTTCTTTGATGGAGTTATTCGCGCATCTGTATTTCAAGTTGTCGGTATCGTCTAATACCACCTCCCCTATGTCCGCAAGTTCTTCGTACGTCGTGGTGTGGAACTTCCATTTGCTCACCTATATGTAAAAACTGAGCTAGCTCCTACATCTCCCCTGGCCTTTAGCTCGTCGTACGTGGTGTGGGGCTTTCACTCGGAGTCACAGGAGGAGCTGGTACAGCTGGTGCCGTGCGTGGCGCGCGCCCAGCCCCAGTGGAGAGAGCTGCAGCAGCTCGGCGCCGGGTGGTGGATCCGCAGCAATACGCTGCTCAAACGCATCGTCGAACAGGTTAGATGGAAGGGATAGAACATGGGTGACTGGGAGGGACCGGGGCGGTGGGTGGGGCGTTTATTGACTTGCCGTTTCCAGTTGGAATGTGGATTGTGGAGTGTACCGATGATCAATTTGCTTTCAGCTGCTTTTAACATTATGGTCATCCGTCGTGCAGAAATCTGCTTACGATACCTGATGGCACAGGTAGACGCGGATGACTGGTTTCAGCTAGCATACACTATGATTAAACACATAATCATGGTATGCGGTGATGGGATGTCTCTGCCAGCCGGCTTCAGCTGATAATGCCACAAGTCCTGCCTTTGACGCTTGTCTTTTTCCGTTGTCAGATTGCCAAGACGGCCTACCAGAAGACCAAGGATCCAATGGACGCTGCTCTCTACTACTTCGCCATGCGCAAACGGACCGTCATCGCGGCGCTGTACAAACAGATGCGCGACGACCGGCGCTACAAGTTCTTCAGCAAGGACTTCACCACGCCCGATGGCCGCACAGCCGCCAAGAAGAACGCCTACCAGTGTCTGGGCAAGCAGAAGTTCGAGTCGGCGGCGGCACTGTTCCTGCTGGCTGACAGTCTTCCCGACTGCGTGGAGGTGATCCTGACCAAGTTACACGACCTGCAGCTGGCCATGTTGGTCTGTCGGCTGTATGACGGAGAGCTGGACAGCTGCCCGCCCAGCCTGCAGCAGCTGCTCAACAAGGTGGGTGGGATTACGGCGGCAAATTGCTGGGTGGGGGAACTAACCTTGCCTTGAAGTGTCTTTTGATCATTTTTATCACCTTTGTTACTTTAACCACCGTGGTGAGGTTCAACGAGCTGAAACGTATGGTGCTGTAGGAAACCTTTTATGAGTTTTTGGTAAAAAGAAAGTTCCTGCAAACGACAACCAGATCATGTATGACGGCCTCAGAAGGTCCAGGATGTTAACCCTATTCCTGGCGGGCTCCGCCGGGACAAGAAACTGGCGGGGGGGGGGGCCGATTCGGCCCCCCCCCCTGAGATCTCGAGAACGAAGCAAGATAGCGACAAGCGGTAAACGGCATCGGATACGCACGGCCAAGATCTACAATTTTTACTAAGGTCATTTTCAGGTCAGGTCAAAGATGACGTCACAGGAGTCGAAAAAGTCAAAATGGCGGCGCTAGATTTGGAGAGAGTTTTTCTCGAATAACTTTCGAATTAGTCAAGATAGGAACAAACTAAGGGCATCATCGTGATCCTCTCGTCAATCCGCATCGAATGATATATATGTTGACCTCGAAAGGTCAAGGTCAAAGGTTGACCTCAGGTCACGTGACCTCGAGGTCATCATGTATATCGTTCGATGCGTCTTGACGAGCTGAACACAATGAGACCATCCACGCGTCTGTATCTTGTTCCTGTACGGAGTTATTGGCCAAAAACCTTTGGTGACCTTTGATGACGTCACATGACCTCACAGCTGCCCAACAGCAAAACAGACCTCAAGGTAGTGAAGCTTGATCGTATATGAAGTCATGTATGGTATATGGGGCCATTCCGACCCGTTTTAGTGGTAAAAACAGGGAGTTGATTTTTCCCCCATTGACTTATAATGGGGAGGTCGCGAAATTGACCTGACCTTAGGTCACCGATATCAAAATTCCGAGATATACAAATTGCACATACTGGTACCCTAACTAAACCCTGAAGAGAAGAAATTGATCGGTCAAAAACTCTAGCTCTGGCGTGATTGCAAACTTTTCTGAGGTAGGGTCACCAAACCGCCTCTGGTGACCTGACCTGAGGTCAGATCAACTCAAAATTTTCAGACATGTTGCGTAGAAGCCTTTTAGGAAAAGTCAGAAAATTTGAGCTTCCTAGCTCAACGCGTTTGGGAGAAATAACCAAAAAACCTCAGGGGGGGGGGGCTCCTGAGGCCCCCCCCCGCCAGGAATAGGGTTAAACCGAAGACGGTAAATCAGGTGTCATCTGACGTTTACCCCCCCCCCCCCTTCAGGAGATTCTGGGTGTGGCCGAGGACGGGACGGTGGACCTGGCTGTGGCGCACCCCGACCCGTTCCTGCGCTCCATGGCCTACTGGATCAAAAAGGACTACTCGGCCAGCCTCAACACGCTGCTCAAAGTCAACGTGGGCACCCTGCACACGGCCTATCAGGAGGAGGATGCGCAGACATACTACGGCAGTACGTACTCGCTGTTGTCTGCCTTAGTTCTCTCTGTGTGCGTGAGAGCGTAGTTGAGTTGGAATTAACCTATATCAACCTCGGCTTTGAATAGGGCACGAGTATTATACAGGAAATATGAGACTTCTCCTGTCTTTCCAAAGTTACGTTTCTGTTAAAGTATTGGACTCACGCCCTGGGTCCTGACCCTAACCACTGACCGTTTTCTGACCGTGCCACCCAGCTGTGTCTCCCCACTAGACCGCAATACTGCCCCAATTCCTTTTCACATTTTTGTCCACGTAAACTTTTTGTTGCAGCGAGTCCGACCGTGTTCAATTTTTACGTGTACCTGCGCACCCACCCGCTGATCGTGAAGCAGTACAAGGCGCAGGGCGCCCAGGACCGGCGCCGGGGGCGGGGCCAGGACGCCGGCGATGAGGACAAACAGGTACGCGGCTAATATGAGCAGCGGGAGTTGGTGACGAACGGGAGGGAATGTAAGGTTGAACGTAGAATGTGCGAGTCTAACCAATGGGGTAAAGTGAAACGTCTGAGCCGGAAGCTGCGTTGCGGAGATGCTGCTGCAAACTAAATCTTTGGCACCCAAACCGATTAGCTTTTGTACGTGAATATGTGTTAAAACCAACAACCCGAGAGCGAATGCTAGTCCTCATTTCGATTTATTGAAGGCACAGGAACATAATTTTTGCCTCAGAGGAATTAATAATTCATTTTCCTTTTAGTTCAGGTCCACAGCAGCCTGTGTTGAAACGTGTTGTACCTCATTGTGGCTCTTCATTCCATCCACTTACTCACTTTTTCCGCTCCGTTCCAGTTCTTCCACGTGGACGCCATCACTCCGCTGGAGCGGCAGTTGTACTTCAGCACCGCGCACGCACACTACCGCGCCGGCTGTCCGACCCTGGCGCTGGAGGTGCTCTCCAAACTACCGAGCAAGGTGCTCGACAGCTGTCCGGAGGCCGAGAGTGAGTCGGAAGAGGGAGAGGGCGAGAGAGGGGGTCAGATGGGGCGACAACTGCAGTGTATGACATGGACAGCGATGCGGACATTGCTAAGGGACATGGGCATTGGGCATGGTGGGACAGCGATAGGGACTTGTTGGATTGTTTGGTGGATCGCTGCTTAGAATTGTGTCAGGAAGGCTCATGTTATTGCAAATAGGGCTACAGACCTTGTTTTTTTTTTTTTTTTTGTTGGGTTAGGCCCTTTCGGTCGACAAGACCATTGCAGAGCCGGAAGGATGATAGGAATTAGGGGGAGACATTGGTCTGGGCAGGCACCCTAGAGAGTCGCCGGGGCTGAGCCCGTCCATAGGACAGGCCGACCAGCCCCCCAAGCACTCTCTGCACCCGGCTACGGGGTGCAGCTCCCTCGGGAGCAGCGGTGCCGCTCCAAGGGAGCAGCCCGCATGAGATAAAGTTGCCTGTCCAGCCCGGAAGGGGGTTGTGGCGTGGAGGAGAAGGATTTCAGTATCCTGAGGATAGAAGCACGGATAGGTGAGCTACAGACCTGATTTCTTGTGGTGTCGATTGATTGAATGGAACTCCGTTGATGAAGTTTCGCACAGTTTAACCACCTTCATTATCCCGTAAATGTCGGCCATGATTGTCACTGAGGTGTTTGAATGTGTCCGTTCAGGCGCTGTGGCCAGCCCGGTCAAGTCGGCACCGCAGGACAAGAGGATTGACACGGGCATCATCGACTGGTCTCAGCCAGGTGAGACGGGAAGCAAGGCTGCGTGGTTTAGGATGGCGCTGCTGCTGCATTGCGTCTAGAGTGTAGCGATGCATGAATTTATATCCCATGGAATTACACCGATATATCCAGCTTTATTTTTTGTTGTTGAGGGGCTGGTGCATACATCTGGGGCGCTGTATCAGCTCTTGTTCGCCCATGTGAAATAGTCAAACAATTACAAATCTATCTCATTTGTGAGGTGTCTCATTACGCTCCTCACCTCCTCTCTCACGCCTCCGCTCTGCCCACAGAGCCGCTGTCGGAGCCGGAGCCGGTCGAGTCCCTGCTGGCTCCGGGCGGGGATACGGCCGCCGCTCTCATGGACGCGCCGCGCGTCCCGTCGCCGCTGCCGCAGTCGCTCGGACAGGACTTTGACTGGTCGACGCCAGTCCGATCGCGGCTGGCCCCCGAGCCCCTGGAGCTTAACTGGGATGATGATCGGGGCAGTGATACCAGCACTGATACTGGTGCGGAGACGCAGACTCAGATGGTGAGCGAGACGGACAGAGTGGCGGGAGATAGTAGAGGGGTCGTGGGGACGAAGACAGGCGACACTTAATTGTGTGGAAGTGGTCTGTGTTGTGTGTCATGCCCGGTGCTGAGCAAGTGCCGCTTCTAAACTTCGGTCATTTACACCATTCGAATGACATTGAAGAGGTCTGGCTATGACCTAGACTAGTGCGTTCACCATGAATGACATATCGCCATCTTTTTCTGTGTTAATCGTATCTGGCGGCGGCCAGTTGATGCCTCCATCCCTCTCTCCACTCACCTCACTCCCTACTCTCCCACTGCCAACAGACATCCGGGCCGGGCCCTGCCGAGGCGGCTCGCTCCGGCGTCCTGGACATCATGGCGCAGCAGCTCAAGTTCATCGGCTGCCTGCAGCTAATGATGGAAGAGCTCTCGAACCTGGCCTCAGGTCTGGGTGTGGACGGCGGCCAGCTGCGCTACCAGCTCTACCTGTGGCTGGAGAGGCAGGTGGACGCGCTCATTGATGTCTGCAACTACGACGGAGGCACTGTCGATGGTGAGGATCGCGTGATTGCGGGGGAGGAAAGGTCGGTCTGAGGACTGCCACTGGAGAAGTGGGGACTCTTCATGGTCATTGGTAGAGGTTAGGCTGTTTGTTTAGCCTCTCTTGGTGAGTTTGTGAAAAAATTACGTCGCATCGAGTTGGGAACCAGGGTGGAGTTTGCTATTTAGTTTAGATGCAATAGAGATGCCTGTTTGGTGGACCCCAACTTGGTATACGTCTGCCGTTAGCGTGTACAGATGCTGGTAGTTTATGTTTCCTCAATTAAATATACGAAACGGTTATTGGTCATCTGTAATTGCAGCGACGGCCAATAACCATCTCCTGGCCTCCCGTCTGACCTGTCCGTCCCTCCCCGGCAGTGGCGGCGCTGCCGACGACCGCCGATGAAGAGGACGCCACTCCGCCGCCCTGTTTCCCCGGAGACCGGCGGCCCACTCTGCACGACGTGCTGCTCACGGACAAGATGGACTTCGAGGCCAAACTGCAGCGCGCCACCCGCAGGAAGACTTGGCTCAAAGGTGGGTGGATGTTGTCTGGTGGGACGCACGAGCGGCTAGAGACGGCTCTGTTAGGATCATTTTAACTTACGTTCTTGTTCTATTATTCTAGCGAAAATGTGACGACATATGATTCATGAAAGCTTTTTTTGTCCTTCTCTTCCTGAAAGCAGAAAGGGAAGTTTTTTATTATTATGAGCCTCTGAAACTGAAAGTGGTCATGAAAGTCATGCTTTGGGGCTAAAGAATTATAGCCATTTGGTCAAATATCTATTGGCAATAACCTCTGGTAGGATAGTGCAGCAACGCTATATTTGGCTCATTATAACTATCACATTTGTGTCTGTTTGTTTCGACAGCGAACCAGGCCCTGTTGCGCACCCTGCTCAGCTACTGCAGTCTGCAGGGGGCCGCCGGCGGAGCGCTGGCCTCTGTCCGCATGGAGCTCATCCTTCTGCTCCAGGTAGGAATGAACCGTGATTAGTTAGGTACCGTTCACCGGCAGTGCACCAGCCTCCGTGGCCGCATGAAACTTACCACATTATCTCCTGATTTAGGAGCAGACTGCCGTTTGCAATAGTCCAGTGAGAGCAGTGCTCATTGCTCAATTTACAGCTGTTCTGTTACCGGTTCATTTCCATTTTACGGAAGTCAAAGTGCCCTGTAGCTCACCCCTCCGCTTGCTTCCACAGGAGTTACAGCAGGAGTCGAGCCGCCAGCAGCTGCTCAGCCCGCTGCCGTTCCCCACCATGATTCCGCTGCTGTCTGCCAGCGTGGCCAACAATAAGACGGTGGTGATGGACCCCGTACGGCACCTGCAGGCCATCGCGCACGATCTGCTGCAGGTGGTGGCGCATCAGGTGAGAATGGAACCGGATGAGTGAATTGGGCCTGCAGATGGGAAGACATTATCGCGTGATGTACAAACTACAGATAGATGCGGTAGGGAAGACAAAACCATACCTAGACTGGGATGTGATTATTATTTTTACTACAGAGAAATAAAACGTAGGACTAATCGACAAGTGATCAGGTAAGTTGTCTTAAAGTTCTATGTAACTACATAATGTAAATATGGACAATGGACATAGTAAGTTGTAAACTGCTGGTTTATTGTTTATGCCGTAATGTGATTTTTCTGTCGGCCTGCACTCGTCTCCGGGCGCCCCTCTGACGTCTGCGTCGCTTCCCCTTAGACGGCGCCTCCGTCACCTAACGTGGTGGAGGAGTCGGCGCTGGCCGTGCTGAAGAACACAGCCGTGGCGCTCTCATCGTGCGTCTACCAGGCGCTCTGCGACTCTGACGCCTTCAAAGTCAAACAGAAAGACGGGTCAGTGAGGAGGCGTGGGCTGCTGCCGGGCGGGTCGGCTGGGAATTGCCTTGATTGACGATGCTGAAATAATCTACTGTTCATTTGTTTGATTTAATTAAATTAGTTGAGAGTGGAGAGGATAGTTGTAACGAATCCATGACAGATATAAAATGACGATAACAACTCAGGTTTATTGTAAGGGACAAAGCTTTCTCTTAGTGGAGAGGATGCTGTTGTGACTGCTACTGCTGATGTTTTGGGGATAATGGCACTGGCGCTCCAATTGATGCTGTCTTTAATTGAATAGATGCTTTTTCATACGGTCATTTCCAGCTTCACACACCACAGTTGATGATTGCTATTGTCACCAGCTGTATGCGCCAAAGACCCAATTTCACAGCCATTTGTCCCATGCGCATCATCACCCCACTATATCCCTCACCGCCGTGTCTGCCTTCTCCCCACAGCCTGGTCGGTTACAGCGTGGACGGTATCGTAGCGGTGAGCGCCAGCCACCTGACGGCCGGCCTGGGCGCGCGCTGCCGGCGCGCCAGCGCCGACCAGCCGCCTGCCGTCACCTCGCCTCCCGCCAAATGGCCCGGCGTGACGTCACTGCGCGCGCTGCTCTCGCGCGAAAAGGACGACGACGGCCCACAGCTGACGGTGCTACTGGCCGAGGTGTTTGCGGCGGTTTATACCAGCCTGCTCATCACGGCCATCGCCTGCTCCGACGCCAGGGTCAGTGGCGCGGGATGGCCGACGATAGGAGTCGCTAGTTTAATATGAAACATGCATTGGGAGCGATGGTGTGCTTAGGGTTGATGGTCAGCGGCTTCAGCAGTGGATCGTCGGTAGTCAGACCTGTGATGTGTACCCCCAGTTGTTGCATCTGCTGCTGCGGTTGTTGATGCTGTCCTGTTGACTCATTGACCCTGTGATCCTTGACCAGTGTGACCTGTGCCCACAGCTGCTGTACCGGCTGGTCCGTCTGAAGGTGGACACCCGTCTCTGGTCGGCTGTGTTTGGCGGCGGCGCCAGGAAACTGCTCCGCGTCGCCACCAATGTAGTCACACCATCGGTAAGTGGTCAGCTCGACCCCAGCTGCCCTGATAGACCAGTACTTAAAAGAGCTTGCAAGTGATTTTCACTGCCGTGGCTCACAAGTCATAGGGGGACTAACAAGGGACTAGCACCTCTGGCTAATCACATAATGTGTCCTAGTTATGTTTTCAATGTCTTTTGCTTATCACAAGATGCATCAGCTAGTTATGTCTTGCGAACGTCTATGGCGGTACTTCCTCATATTATGAACATGTGTTAGTTCTTTTCGCACATAATCCCCCTCTGACTTCCTCCATCTATCTGCATTTCAGACCCCGGCGCCGTCCGAATTAGCCTCTTCCCCCGGCGACACCAGCCTGCTGTCGTCGCTCAACAAGCAGCGTGCCAAGCTGAACATGAAGCTGCTGGGTCAGCTGGCCCCGGGCAGCGGACCGACCACGCCCGGCCTGACGCCGCCCACTCGCGACGAACACCCCACCTACAGAGAGGTGTTTGTGCCGCCCGAGGCGTCCATTGTGCAGCTGATACTGGCGAAGGTGAGGATGAAGTCGGGTGGGACGAGCAGGGTAAGAGGAGAGGAAGGGGTGATAGAGAGTACTATTCGAGGGGATAGAGGGAATAGGATAGAGAGTAGAGTACTGTAGGTTGAGAGCGAGGCGCGTTTTTGTCGTCCGGCTTGTTGCAATATTGTCTTCAGCAGGGTTGTTGAATCATTACTCGTTATTAGGATGCTGCTACCCTCTAGCCTGGTCAGTTATAACTTGTGCTTTCAGTTTGTCGTTAAGCTTATCTGAGTGCTGTGACTTGCCTGATGACCTGAATGTGACCTTTTCTGTCCGACAGCCGCCGCCGGACCCGGCCGGTGAGACCGAGGAGTCGACATTCGACTACGACTCCGACACCGAGTCGCTGGCGGACGATCAGTCGGATAGATATGGGGAGGAGGATGACGGGTAAGATTCGGGGGAGGACTGGTTTGTGCTGAGGACCTAGGTAACAGGACTGGACGGTAAGGACCTGTAGAGGGATGTTAGTGAAGAAAATGGCGAGTGATAACGAAGAGTGACAATGAAGGAAACGATACAGGGACATTGATTTTTTACTCTGAATGTAGTGCGCTCGTCCCCTCCCACAGACTGAAGTGAGTACCGTGCACTCAGTCCGTCTTGTCACTGAACACTGTGACTGAAGTGCTCCGTCCCCGCCCCCCCCCCCCCCCCACAGACTGACTGAGATGACACCGAACAATGCAGTTGAGCACACCATGACTGGTGTGCTCCCGTTTTTCACAGACTGACGGAGGTGAACACAGAACACTCGGACCCCAACTCGTATAGCTGGAAACTGATGCGGTTCGCCTGTATGAAACTCTGCAAACAGAAGATCACACAGATCCTCTCCGTGGCTGGCATCGAGCAGCAAGGTGAGTCGAGTGCGGAATCTGGAAAACATGTACATGAATCAAACATGAATCTACGCGGGCCTGAGGTTCAATCCGAGCCTGGTTCCTAGAAAGCAGTGAGACTACAGGAAACCAGACACCCCTTGTGTATAGATCGTGCGTGTGTTATTTCATAATTTTTATTCATGAAATTCATACCCAACAACTGCCAAATTTTCAGGAAAATCGTCAGCACGTTTTTTTTTTTTCTTTGTTTGGACTTTTCTGACCTATTGCACAGCTGACTCTTGCGGCTCGTTCGCCAATAACCATTGAAAGAGCTGCCACGACTGGTTATGCACATTGCACGCCATTTGACTCGTGCCGCTCACCGTTCGTTGGAGCTCCTAGTTTCTTCGCCTCTGGTGCATCTGACTCTTACCTCCCTCTCTTCCTCCGGCCGTACGTTAGAGCTGCCGGTTGCCTCGCCTCTGGTGCACACCATTCTGCGGCTGATGGACCGCTGGTCGGACGAACTGGAGGCCGAGGTCAACTCGAGTCGCCAGCCGGCCGAGTATATCCCCAATCTGAACGTGGACGAGTCGGCGCGCGGCCCGCCCATCGTCAAATACCGGGCCATGCTGCAGCCGTTCAACACGCCGTTCGAGTGAGTTGATGGTGTTGTTGGAAGGATTCATAACGAGGTTAATAGGGGTATTTGTAGCGGCGGAACACCTTCAATTAAGGGGGCACTGCCGACTTTTGGTCCCATTCTTTCTATGGAACGCCCATTAGGGCTAATGTTAAAATGTCAAAATCAAAGGGGGGCACGGTGCCCCGTTGCCCTCCCCGTTCCGCCGCCTATGATTTTGGCGATGTCATAAGGACGACTTTGTATGGTGCACTTGGTTTACGAACCTTTAATGCGTTATCGATTGTCATGTGTTTGTGTCCCGACTCGTGAAGCAGGTTACTTGGGAGCAGTGTTACCTCAGCAATGATTTAACGTGCCGCTGCTTTCCCTGTTGCCCGTCAACCGTGTCCTCTGCTCACTAACCCCTCCCCTCTGTTCCGTGACGTCGCCGGCAGTCAAGACGCTCCCGGTGTCGGTGCCGTGAAGCGACTCTGGCTGGTACTGGCCCGCCACGAAGCCGTTCAGGACACCTTCATCCGAGTTCTGTTCTCGCGGCGTGCTGCGCTAGGACCCAGCATCGGCTCGGGAGCTGACAGCGACCATGAGGTCACCACCGACCCCATCAAGATCATACACAAGGAGCAGGATGCCATCACCGCATTCTGCATCAACCAGGTAAGGGTTAGGAAAAGGAGGAACTGCCTGGTAGCTAACAGAACATATGTTCGCAGACTGTAATAGACTGTAAAAAGATTTTAGCTGTTTGTAAACATCGTTACAAGTTACTGGTCTTCAAGGCTGGCAGCACGTATCAGCGTGGTGGCCGGTGAGTACGGGCTTCTGAAGATGTCTGTCCTCGTGTCCGACAGGCCAACCCGAACATGATGGTGATGGCGACGCAGAAGGAGCTGCAGGAGCTGGACGTGGCACTGCTGGTCAGCGGCCCCACCTGGCTCGAGTCGGAGACCGACTACGACTCGCTCAACCCCAACAGGTACGGGTAGCGACGGGATGGGATGCTCGGCTGATTGTCTCAAGGCAAAGACATTGGTCGTGGTTTGGTAGTATTAGCTGTATGATATTCTGCGCAGTGAAAACTGTTTTGATATTGTTAGGTTGTTGGTCTCCATGACTCGCTTCTCCACGTCCGGTGTCATTTTGTTTCTAATGAGCTTGCTTCCTGTACCGTGTGTACCTGTTCTCCACGCGACTGTCCAATGTTGACGTGTCTGTTGCGCCTCTGTCTGACTGTCTGTCGCTCTGCCGCTTCCAGGGACCCGGACAGTATGCCCTCCTCCAACTACCTGGTGGTGCAGCTGCCGAGCGAGGCAGGCTCGGCCGGCCTGCCCGGCCCGGGTCCGGGCGGCTCCGGATACTCCGGGCCCGGCTCGGCGGCCAGCAGCCTCGTGCCCAGTCCGACCTACTCGCAGACGGGCCGCGCGCCGGCCATGGTGAGTGACGGGGCTGGCAGGGCAGGGTAGTTTTTTCTGTCGGTGAGTTGGGACAGTTGGTGTGGAGGCTGACCGGTCGGTCAGGTCGGACTGATGGTGTTAATGGCGGCAACAAGTCACGCTGCCGCTAGCCTGCACTCTCGGTGTCACGTTAAATGTCACCGTCACTTGGATGTGTTGACCAGAGAAACAGCGTGATGTAAATGGCACAACGCGCTCAAAAGCGCAGGACGTGTAGATAGGTCACACATGTGTGTTTCGTGGATTGATTGTAAGTTTGTTAGTGATTAGAATATGCTGTTCTCGTCACCTGCACTGAATGCGTAGCGTACAGTTTCTTTCCACATTAGTGTATATTCAGACGATTGGTCTATCTTCACTTGATGTCATAAAATATGTGTAGAACGTCAGTCTGTTATACCGGTATATAAACCGGTATACTATACCAGAGTGAAAGACCGGTCGGTCTTTCACTCATCCAAGCACGTCTCCTTTTCACTCTTCAGCTAGGACTCTGTGAGTGACTACTGCATCGGTGTGTCATATCGATGTTATCTATTACCTTATCCTTAGCAATAGGAATTTCCTGATAGCACCATCCTTTTTAACTATAGTACGTTTTATCTTATCTTATTTTATTTCTATTGGATTTCTGGGTAGTGTCCTCTTTATTCATTATACCTTTCTTTTTCTTTTTGTTGTATTCTTACTGTCTGTCCCTATCGCCTCTTGTTTCACTGTTTTACTGGTCTCTCTTAGTTCACTGTTCTTTCCCGTCTTATTCCTTTTCCTTATCGTCGACCGGCGCCTGCCCTGTGCCCCTCCCTCGTTGTCGCTGTCCCCTCAGCCGATATATGTGTCTGTTTCAGGGAGGTCGAGTCGGCCGGACACAGGCAGGTGGACGTTTATATGTGTCGTGTGTTTCCCACCCACCCAGCCCCGCTTCATAGATGCACGCTGTAATGATGCAAAGCTGCTCTACGGCAGCCATCCACTCCCACGTTGTGTTTTGTATTTTTTGAACGGGTTTGTGTTTTGTAGCTGGGTTTGTGGTGGTTGCTTTTCATTAGTAATACTGGGATTTATTCTTCACTGCGTTTTGCGTTGAGGGTATCTTTTCTTTGATTTCTAAGTGATTTACAGGCCTTCGATGGATGGTAAGTCAGTGGATATCGCCAGACTTCTTCACTCTTAAATATTGAAGGACGCCTTGATAGAAAGACGGAAATTTTATTTTAGCTCTGTTGATCACGTTTCTAATTCGATGTTTACGTCACTTTGAAACTTCTCGATTTAGATTGTGTTAGTGGCAGGACAGCTGTACGCGGCCTGTGAAATTTTTGCATTCAATATTTTCCAAGCCGATTGCGATTCCGCTAGGTAAGCTCTCCCAACTAACCGCGCCCGTGTCCAGTCGGGCTCACCGAGTTTAGCTCACCAACTCTAACCCACGCTGTTCCGTCTCTGTCTCCTAACCACGCTAACCCAGCTGAAAGGATTACACTTTCCGGGCGCTCAGAACGCACACTTCTGTCGGGTGGTGCTCAAACGCAGCCGCCACCTGCTGCAGCCGGTGAGAAGCTGTAGTTCCAGATTCGACTCACAGATGGCTGTCGTGATTTCGCCCCGTCTGTGCCGCACATTTTGAGTGATGCACCGCCTAGATACTCACGCATTTTTGTTCCATGCATGATGTCTCCAACCTTTTTTTAGCGCACGGTGTTTGATGGTGACGTTATCCTGGCCGTCATTGCAAGTTCATCGATTATTTACAATTCAGTTTTTTTTTTGCGTAACCATCCCTTTTGTTGTCAGTAGGCAGCTGGTCACCGGTCAACCCCACGGCGTGGTCTACTCGTAGACCATGCCCTGTACGGGGCTGACTTTTCAACGATGCGGGAGAAGTTCAATGCAGCAACGGCCTAATATGTGCATGGTTGTCAACTTTCGTTGAAGATCCGTCCTGCTTCAATACCAACATTGTCGACTTATAATTAGCTGTACCGCGTTGACGTTTTCTTTCTTCGTAGCTTTGATATTTTGAATCAGATTATTTTCCCCTCTTCAGTCGATTAACGGATTTATTTATGCAGCTCTTTCGTAGCCATGTGTTCTGTTCTAATTTCGACTGAGTTGTGTCACCGAGGCTGCGCTTTGTAGCGTATTATCACATCTGCTTATTCGTATCCTGGCAATATTTTAGAAAGGAATGAATGACAGTCATTCATTCCAGTATGTCATATGCTGCCTCGGGAGTATGTGATGTATCGTGCCGTCGTCGTGCTTTTGTCACTCTGGCGTCGCTTCGCTTCAGTACTGTGTGTGAGTGTCCTCGAAAATCCTCTTCACGTGACTCAGTGTAACTCAGCATCCGAACTGCAAGTAATTGTTCAATTATCCTGCTAATACGGTATAATGACTGGCTTAGCATACCCAGAAATGCCAACTACTGGTGTTTTTCGGATCTTGTTCACCTTGAACTCGCCTTGTTCCGGCTAACTCCGTCTCATCTGTGATCTGACACCGTTGAGGCTGGTCGGCATGGCCCGTTTCTTTGCTCCTGTAGACGTTCTGACTCCGTCCGGCGCCGTTTCAGATGCTGCGCCACAAAGTGGAGGGCGTGCGCAGGCTGTGTGCCCACCCCACCATGTCTGTATGTGAGTAACGGGGACAGTGTCTGTGGGTACCGGGGTCGACGTGAAGACGACAGTAGCCGAAAGGCTTATCTGCCCACATACATATTGGACCGTTGTTGTTTATTGGAGATCTTTATCAGAGACGTCTTAATGATGTGAGGCTCCATTTAGCTAAACTCAATGGCGTTGAATTGTGATCGATAGTGACGGCTGCATATCACTTATCTTTTTTGTGATTTTTTACTTGTCCCTGTGGTTTTATTTAGATGTTGTGCACATGAAGTAGCCGTTGGTGCGTCACAGTTCTTACAAAGCTGCAGCTACTGCACACAGGATTTATTCAGTAATAATTATAGCCGATTATACACTGTTTCTATAACCTTCCGTCAAACGTGTGTGTATTTAAACGCATGTGTCGTTTCAGACATCACCGGAGCCCACGACGGCTCTGTGACGGTCCGTGAATGGGGAGCCGAGAACCCGGTGGCCGTGCCCCGGCCCAGCGGCACGTACGCCAAGGTGAGACGATGGATGTACTCGTGTTTTCCGGTGAATGTGATGATTATGGTGAACTCTGATCTGTATTGGCCTGGGGCGAACCTAGCCTTGGCTGGCTGTGGATAATTGCCTATCGAGACGTAGGATGAGGCTTTAGCCTGATTGAGACGTTTGCTTCTCACTGAGTTGCTGTTGTTGTTGCTGTCCTCGGGTCGGCTCACGGCCGACCGTAGCCCAGCGGCTCTCGGTGACTGAGGTAGCCGCGGCTCAAGGCCGCCGTTTAACAATTATGCTACTGATCGCAGATTGTGGCCATGCTATCTGGATGTATTATTTCCTCCTTCCTCGACCGGCTTCATGACTGGTGCGTCCCAAAGCCACAGATCACCAACGTCCAACACCCTGTCCACAGGTGAACCGGGTGCGGTTCAACACGCAGGGCAACAAGTTCGGAGTGGCTGACAACGACGGCAATCTCAGCCTGTGGCAGATGACGCCGTCGGCGCACAACGGACGGCCGTTCTACGTGAGTGTCTTAGAAATAGCTACTACCGGGGGTGGGGCTACACGGCCTGCACACTACAGCAGGCACCAGGGTTAACTGTGTAACGAAGCGGGTCGAGAGATTATCAATGGCCGAACATATGTTGGGACAATGCTGACATGCTGTTTCTATCAGATTGCTAGCTGGGTTTTGGTGTACCTATTGTGTAGCGAGATATTGCAATACGCATTCATTGTTCTTTCGGAAGTGTCTCAAGTGGGCCTTTAGTGATAGCGCGGCTTTAACATAAGTCAGTTGTATTAATCGTGTACTCTGGAGTTCTATCAGCCTTAGAGTACCGTTTCACTCACCACGTATGTAATATGTTGCCTGACCCACCCTCCTTCACTACACAGGCGATGGAGTGCCACAGCAAGGTATGCAGTGACTTCGTCTTCGTGGGCTCGTCCTCTCTGCTGGCCACGGCCGGCCTCAGCGCTGACAATAAGAACGTCTGCTTGTGGGACACGCTGCTGCCCAAGCGGAAGGCTCAGGTGGCTGGCTTCTGCTGTCACGAGTCGGGCGCGTCGGCGCTGCTGTACTCGTCCCAGCACCAGGTGGGAAAGAGGAGAGAGAGAGAGAGAGAGAGAGAGAGAGAGAGAGAGAGAGGAGAGAGAGAGAGAGAGAGAGAGAGAGAGAGAGAGAGAGAGAGAGAGAGAGAGAGAGAGATCCTTGATGGTACTCTGACATCCCACCACCCTGCTATATTTTTCAAATGCTGACCCTGTCCTACTCCTTCCCCTGTGCCGGTTGTTGGTTGAAGTTGGCATATTTGTTGTGTGCTGTACTGGCTAGTGGCTGAGTGCCTCTGTTACAAGCGTGTGTGTGTTATGACTTGTGTACTGACTGTCTCTGTATTTCAGCTGCTGATATCGGGCGGTAAGCGCGGCAACGTGTGCATCTTCGACGTGCGCCGTCGCCAGGTGCGCCACCGCTTCTCTGCGCACGAGGCGGCCATCAAGTGTATGGCTCTGGACCCGGCCGAGGAATACTTTGTCACCGGCAGCGACGAGGGAGACATCAAGGTCGGTCACAGGGGGTGCGGGGAGGTCGGGAGGGGGGGGGGTGCACCGGGTGCGTTCAGAAATCCTGGAGTTTCTGTCTTCAGTGTCGCAGCTACTTTTCTTTATCGTTATTCTCTTTGATTGTTTATTGTGGTGTGCATGGTCCTGTCATAGGACAGGAATCTTATCATTTTGATTACCTACAAATACCAGAATGTAGACTGTCTAATGTGGTGTGATTTATGGCGTAATTTCAGTATTTGATGTGATGGTGTCGTGTATGTAGTGGATGGTATGGTGGCTCAAATGTCAAAATAGTAGCATCGGATAGTGGGAAAACTGGGAAGCTTCAATGTTTGCATGCATGAAAGGACCTTGATGTACTTTTAACATATTCTTTAATCGAAACAACGGCAGTCATGAATCGAGCAAGGTAAGTAATTTCACCATCATCAAGCCCGCCCCCGTTCGTCCCGCTGTACCGCCCCGCCCCGTTCCAGGTGTGGGGTCTGACGGTGCGGGACGCGTTCTTCTCGTTCCCTGCCGAGCACGCGCGCGGCGGCTTCTTCAAGAACGCCGGCCACGGCGTGACTCAGCTTCATATTGACGACGAGCACCGCCTGTATTCGTGCGGCGCTGACGGCTCTATGAAACTGCGCGCCGTGCCCCACCACCGGGATACAGTGGTGCAGTCCGTCTACTGAGACAGGTAGAGTCCTACGGAGGAGAGTAGAGGGCGTCTACTGAGCTGGGTAGAATCCTACGGAGGAGAGTAGAGGGCGTCTACTGAGCGAGGTAGAATCCTGAGAAGGAGGGGACAGTGTACTGAGATTAGTCTGTCTACCGATCAGGCATCTGAGGAGGTGGAGGGAACGGTCTGTCTACTGAGAACGGTAGAGTCCTGAGGAGGAGACTATGGGGTGTCTACTGAGGAGAGTCGTCTCATAAAGAGACTACAGTCTTCTTAGGAGAGTAACAACCTGCTGAGGAGACTGCAGTCTATTGGGAAGACTGGAGTTTGCTGAGGAAGCCACAGTTCGTCAACTCATGAGGCTGCTGTTCTTCTGAGCAGACTATTGTCCCTTCGCTGCGGAGACTACAATCTGTCTACTGAGCTAGGAAATGGCATTCCCTCTACTGAAGTGGTTGAGAGACGGTCAGGATGAAATCAGGTGTTGCAATGGATAAACAGGTTGAAGAAAATAGTGGCAAGTGAAAAGAAGTGATCATTGTAGGCATGCTTGTGATGGACCGAAAATTAGAGACTTTTTGATAGCTTGTAATTTGTATTGACTTCTGGCAGTGGAAGAAGTAGTGTAATTACACCACCCAAATAGCGAGCTACCTGCTTCAGCAAATTCAATTTTCTGGCTGACTGGAGACAATTTTTATTGGCACTCGCTGTGCAATCATGCATGAGGCCGCTCCGCCTTTCGAAACCTCTCACCAGTCCCTGTTCGACCGCGAGCCATAAGCCACAGACAAGGCCAGTTCCGCCCGCCGGCTGCACCACCAGTAACGCTACATTCCAGACAGGGTTGAGACTGTCGCACTGCGTACTGTGCGTACGTGTGCGTATGTGTTTGTGTGTGTGCGTGCTGAGGTTGTGTGCGTGAGTGCTCGTGAGGTGAATTGATCCTGTATTTGCTTAGATTGGAGCCAGGGCCATAGTAAAGACGGAGTTCGTCGTGTCATGTGCAATTTTTAGCAAAGCGGGAGATATATTGTCACACTAGGCTGTTTATTGTGTAGCGAAAAAGCGCAGCTGTATTGCCAAGGGTATATCCTTACAAGTAGGTATGTCGAAAAGCTCCAGGACTGGAAGTGGCATTATTTACCGCTGATCATTCAATTTACCCATTAATTTTCCCAATGCCATATGTATCTCGGTATTGTCCCGTCTTAACTTGAAAATATTGTCTCGTATAAGTTCGTTTCGCGGTAACTGCGACAGAATGTCCCCGCGTGTCGCGGTTACTGTCGCGGCGACACAGCGACAGGCCTCGCGTGTCGCCACAACCACAGCTGAGCTATTATTCACGAGCTGTCGGTATCGGACCCGGCCGGCTGAACAGCGTGATTGCGTTGACCGTGCTGTTTTCCTAAGGGCTAGGTCGGCCGCTCGATATCAGCCGCGTGTTTCCCCACACGAATCAGAGGGATACAGGGCACCTCGCGTGCCGTCTGAGTTTTAGAGTCGACGGTTTTCGGACACGTCGCTACCGGTTCCGTGCTGCGTTCGATTCGGATAAAGTTGGGAGGATGTTGTCGATGTTTATATATTCCTACGCCATTGTTTATTCCTATGTTATTATATCGCGCAATGTGAATGATTTTGTACAGGAAGGTAGGAAGAATTAACGATTTTATGGTTGTGTTCCGTAACAAGCGATGGTACTGCACTGAACGGCTCCCAATATGTATACTAGCTGGATGTTCAGTGTTATTCGTACCACCGTCATTGTATCTCGTAAATCTACCCTCTAGACTTGATAGCTGTGTGAACTGAGCGATAATACTGGCTGTAGTGATGAAATGTGTGCTTGTAAGTAGTGTGTTGTGTGCTCTATTATTCCCCAATAAACGTCTGTCGATCCGCTGGGTGTTAGCTTTATGGCCAGCGTTGCAGTCACCCGATGCGAAAACGCGCTACTAGAACACCGGTGTATTTACTGTTTTGCTTCTAACTTTGATGACGTTTCGAAATATTGGGTAAGAATACATTAATGATTTGAGATGTTCTCATCTCATTTGGCGATTTTTGCGGCTATGTGAAGCGTGCATTTCTTCAAAGACTACCAAAAATATGGCGTGCTTTGGGTTTGTTGTTGAGGTAGTCCTAAAACGGATTGGGCCTAGTGCCCAATGTCGTTTTTAGTTCCATCGTTGTTTGGTTCATTGGTTCTTGTAGTCCCCTTGCACTTTACAACGCTGAAGTCACAGGCGTTAGACATCTTGCGTCCTCCGTTACATTTTCATTTTTCACCCGTCCTGCGGCCTGCGCTGTGCGAAAACGGTGTATCGTGAGACAGTTCCGACCAAAAGTCGCAGCTCACCAGCCAATATGTATTCACATCGACAACAGAAGTACTGGGCGGTTCACACCAAACGGTCCCTAGTGAGAAGTCTTGGGCGTGGGTAGTGGCTAGGGGCGCTTCCCATAGTTCACGGACAGAATGTGAACTGACGAAGGCGCGGCACGTGGCATTGATACAGTGACGTGCGAACTGCGAGTAGACGGGCGGATTGAGGACTGATTTGCATTGAACTGCCACCGTTGGATATGACTGAAGGCACGAGTTAAAATGAATAGGTGAACAAGAATGGCATCACAGTGAGGCATAAGTTCGAAATAAAATGTGTTCTTGTTCTCGTACAACGCACTCTGCGTTACGAACGAAGACGATAGACGGTTTTTTATCACAAGTTGAGATAAGGCGCAGGTGACTTGGAAGCTTAGCACTAAAAACAGCGCAATTATTACCGAGCTATATCATGATCTAGCCCTCGCTCCCACGCCATGCACGCGAGCAAACAATATCAAATGAACGATCGTGATTTGACATTTCCTCTCCCCCACATTCCTCACTGGCTGCTGCCGTATTAATCCAATAACAAAGACCCCGCGTGCACCTTTGTTGCCGCAACACTTTTGCCGCTTTGCTTGGTCTGCGGGCTTGACCTTTTCGCTCTGCTCCCTGTCGGGGCGTGGTACTGCCCTGTGAGCCGTTTCAGCCGCATACGAAGGACATGCAGTTCGCGTGCTGTGGTTGGTAGAGGAAAGGGAAGGCTGGGGCGTGGTTGAACGACCAAGGTTGGGATATTCAGCCACGCCCCGGGTATCTACTGTGACCATGACCGTAACGCGACACTCGGGAGATAGCATGTCTGGCACAGACACAACACGCGTGTCCGTCCCAGTCAGTCACAAGTCACAGCTGGGACTGAAGGTCGTCGAGAAGAGATAAGAACGGGAACGGTGAATTCGGGGGTACACACCGAAACGACATCAACATATCTCACTCACGCTCACTTTCTGTACAAACAGCTCTATCGCACTCAGTCACACACCGTCACGGTGGGAGTCACAGTCAGACCTGGTGACGACTGCCGTCACGGCAGTGGTCGCTTTACGATCGTCTCGCCGGCGTTACCTCAGCCAGGTGCCATTCCGTCACTATCTCCGGACCGTCTCACTCCTATACGGCCGGAGAGCGTTGACAAACACTGAGAACTGCTGTGTTTACGGCTTACCGACAGTCCCGGCGACCCTGGCAGCCCACAATCCTTCAGAGACGGCACGGAACCCGTCACAGTCTGCCGCCCCGCCCCCGCCCCCGCCCCCGCCCCCGCTGAGCCGCTGGAATGTACTGACTGGCACGTGGCCTAGCGGCCGGCCGCGGGCGTGGTCGCCCCAATTACAGTCCAGTTTGGTCACATGGAGCGCTCGTAACGAAGCCTCTCGGCCGGCCGCTCCTCCTCCGTTCACTCTCACTTTAGGAGGTATTTCAGTCCTCTCTCCCTCCCGCGTAATCCGTTCAAGGAGAACTCACTCTCACTCTCACTCCGAGGAGTGCCGGAACTCGGTGAGTGGCGCTCGGGAGTCCGGTATGACGAGTTTTATTCTATTCTTTTATACGTGCCGGTGATAATGGTTTGATGAAACGATGCCGGGTATTGCTAATTCCGGCAGTGGGACAGTCTGCTGTCGGACTGGATCAATCGGCTGAGGACTGTCGGACAACTATCCGGGATTATGAACACTACGTTGGTGTGTCCTGGCGCCCGGTTTGCCGACAATCGGGTGCTTTTGACACACTTGCTGGTCAGGTGTCGCATTTCTGATGTTGCTTGCGTTGCCTCTCAGTGCCATTGTTGCCACTTGTGAACCTCGGTGAGATGTGTTTACTCGCAGGTGAGCTGCTCTTCAACCTCCCCAGATCCAGTCGCCGCATTTAACTCCTCATTAATCACATTTGTAACGGTGCATGCCTGGGCGAGCCGACCGCTGTTTTCTATCGGTGCTCTGTGCACGGTGCAGTGCACAGGTCTGATCGTGCACACGGCTTGCATTGCGAGCTGTGCGTGAGACGATGCCAGCTGGCGATCCGGCGTTCCAACTTGCGGTTCGGGCTCACGATGTCCGCATTCCAGTATGCCGTTTTGGCCTGCGCACCATGGCATAGTTCATTGCAGATACGTGACTCAAACACACTGGGAAAACAAGACAACTCAGGAAGACAAACTTCCTCTCATTGTGGCCAAACGAGCGAGTGGGCTTTTTCTGTCGTTTATCGTCCAGCTCACACCTGCCACCATTCCTACAGAAGGTTCACCACCTTCTTCCCCTACGTCTACCACTATCTCACAACTGCGCCAGAGACGGTGCCGGCAGGAGCGGCGTTCTGTAGTCACTGTGATCAGCATGGTTCGCCCTCCCATCTACCAGGGCGCTGGGCTGGAGCGGTGACGCAGAACCAGCCCGTCGCCGCCTTCGCCGTCCGGTACCGGCGCCCGGCGTGGGTCCTCCTCCATACACAGTACGAGTCGTGCCGGCGGAGATAACCAACGTCGGCGTGATCACGATCGTGTCCGTCTGCAGACCCGTGGCGGTCAGCACGTGTGTCACCGTGTGCACGTGCTTGACAGTGGTGGGCGTGTCGCCGCGCACGGCCGGCACCGTCTTGGTCTTCTTGAGGAGGATGGTGGTGACGAGGGTAGATGTGGTGACGTGTAGACTGGTGCTCGGAGCCAGTACACTGCTCCGAACGGCCGCAGGTCGGGGTTGAGGCGCGCGGGGTGGCGGAGGGGGTCGAGGTCTTGGGGTGGTGGTCGGTTTGCGGGTGGGAGGTGGCGGCGGAGGCGGTGGTGTTGGTGTGGAAGATGGAGGCGGTTTGGTGACGGGCACCGTCGCTTGAGCTTTGCTTTCAGCCTGTGAAATCTGTGCCTGAGCCTTAGGTCCCGACGCTTCCGCTCCCACGCCGTTCAGGCCGAAGATTCCCTGCAGATCGCCGGCCTTCCGTCCAGTCAGACCGGGCTGACCTGCCCCAGCCAGTGGATCCAGCTGCGCTCCTAGCTGCTGCGCTGTCGGGAACTGACCTGGCACCGGCTGCTGGGGACCAGAACCGAACACCGGTCTCTGCTGTCCCAGTGAGCCGGGAGCCAGTCCCAGACCCGGCCCGACACCTCCCTGCCCCTGCCGCAGTCCCTGCGCTGCGCCGAGCGCGGCGGCTCGCCCCTGGTCTCTGATGTCGGCCAGCAGCAGCAGCAGCTGTCCGGTGTCGCCCTGGGTGACCTTCTGCAGCAGGGTGATGATGGCCGCCTGGCCGGCCGGCTGGCTGAGCAGGGTCGGCAGGGGGTCGGTGCCGCGCGCCCGGCGTAGCTTCAGCAGAGCTGCGGCCATCTGGTCGGTCTGCTGGTGCTGAATCTGGGCGGCGTCCGTCGTCTGGGCCTGGATCAGGTAGTAGTAGAGCAGGTATTTGAGAAGCGACCAGTCGGCACAGCCGGACCCTGCCGGGGAAAGAAAGGGAGAGTTAGAACGATCCGACTGGAAACCGGGGATGCACGGGATTTGGAAGGGGTTTGTTCGACCCTTCCGGGACATGCCCGAAGACCAGCGGGTTCGGGAAAGACTGCGGAGATTCTGCAAACAATTAATCATGATATATAGAAAGGTCTTTATTTGGCTCAATTCATTGCTGAACGGACCGTGTATACTGTATATGTTGATCATCACGAAAGACTTTAACCCGCGCCCCGTTGGGCTCTGCCGAGCAGCGCGCCCCGTTGGGGGGGGGCAATTTGCCCCCCCCCCCCAGATCTCGAGAACCACGCAACCTAGCGACAAGCGGCAAACGGTGTTGGATAGCCCTATCAGGGAACTACCTTGTGACTCAATTTTATTGACCTAGGTCAAACCGATGACGTCACAGGTCAGATCAAAGGTCGAATTTTCACCGTTTACAGGCATTTCAAGAAATGTGTTGTAAAATCGAGTAAAATGCATTTCATTGAAAATCATCGATGGGGAAATGTTCTTCAAACACACATTTTGCTATTTGAGGTCACTGATACCAGGTCAGGTCACAGAGGCCAGGTCACTGGGGGGTCACAATATGAAAATGTCGTGTGATACATGTTTTATACATTTTACATGACAAATGCGATTATGTGGGTCAGGCAGCCTTTGGGGCCAGCTTAGGTCACGTTTTGGTCAAGGTCAGGTCAAATTAGGTCAAATTTCAAAGTTGATATTTTTGCATAAAATGGGTATCGATTCGATGCAGCTCGTCACGGGGAGTTCAATGGTGTCTTTGTTTTGCCCTACGTGGTCTAAAGAATCGCTAAAAATTGAGTTCAAAAATTTGACGTCATTATTTTTGAACAGTTTTTCGCTATAACTTGGCCAAAAAACGAAATATCGATCTGAAATTTGGTATGTATATAGAAGAGCGCAGGGACTATCACATTTATTCCGGTTTTTTCGAAATTCGGATTTTTTTTTAGTTTTTGTAAGAAATCAATTTTTTGAATTCTTGGGGTCAAAAACCCATAATTTTGAAAATCCGAGATAGCAGTTTTGTAGCGCCGCTTTTAT